TCATTAAGAACTTGACGCGTTTAGTACCTAAACTATCAGTTTTGGTCTATTTTAATACCAAGACTTTTAATTTTTTTTAAAACATAATGTTAAATTTTGAACATGGTACTAAAATTAAACAAAAACTAAATTTTATATATGGTTTTAAAAATTTTGAAAGTATAAGTATTGAACATGTAATTTACCCTAAAAATAATAAGATAAGAATAGAGTAGCTTTTTCGCTTCGGCCTTACCTCACATCATTTTCATATCCTTAATTTATTGGAGAAACAAAGTAGTTGACGAAGGGGGTTAGGTGAAAAATAATAATAATAAAAGGCAGCTGACGTGCATGCATAATATTTGCGAAGATGGCGTTAAAAATTTTAGTTTTTGTTTCAGTTTAGTATCCGATTCAAAATTTAATGTTATGTTTTAAAAAAATAGAAAATTTAGGTACTAAACGCTTTAAGTTTTTAAAGACGGGTACTAAAATGAAATGAAAAATAAAAGTTAGGTATGCTTTTGAAAAAAATTAGAAGTTTAGATTTTAAAACGAACCAAAACTGATAGTTGATATATTAAATGTGTAGTTTGCCCTTCATTTATTTATTTTTTAATTAATTTCCAATTGGAAATTGCAAACACTAGATTAAACGCTTAGAAAAAAAAATTTAGGCAAAAAGGTAGTTTTGGAAAAAAAATCAATGTGGTCATCATTTATTTTTTTTCTTTCAATGTGGTCCTCCAACTCATAAAATAAATCCAATATGATAATTTGACCAATATTTTTCGTCGTTGACCATTACAGTACTAACGTGCCAATTCACGATACTGACGTGACTATCCACGATGCTGACGTTATAGTCCATCTACCATGTTTAAGTTACCATATACTACTACATTTTTAAGACCACAAAGACACAAAAAAATCCCATTGATAGTCCTATCTTATCATATTTTTCAAAATGCTAAATGCAACTTTCTTTTTACTTTTATTTTCTACAAAAGTCTAAAATACTAGTTATTGTTTTTTTAATATTCAAATGTTAGTGTCACTTAAAATTTAATATTTTTACCATAAATTAAATATACATGGAATAAAATGGTTACTTTTATAATATAACCATAAAATTTTATCTTTGGTGATCAAAGAGAAATGTTAAAGATGCAATTGTTATCAATGAGTTTGTTCTAGTGAGTTGGTTCTAGTGGTAAGCAGCATGATATCAATTAAGTAAGGTCTCAGGTTCGAGTCTTTATGTATGCAGAAAATCCCACTGAGAAACTCACCTACCAAAACCAGATGTGCAGCTCGGGTCGGTCCAGATTAATCAAAACAAATCCTAATTTTAACGCATTTTATCTTTACTTTTAATTAAAATATGTATTTTTTTATAAAGCTATTAACTCACTAATGTCACACATGTTTTCATATCCTTCAATTATTCAACAAAGTACTTTTACTCAATCTGTTAGTAATAAGTTTTATTCCCAAAACCCTAAACAAATATTGAAACTAAAGATTGGCAGACATAGGTGACCATTTTTCAAAAACAAACAAGGCTTAGTTGATATTAATTATTGATGAAGTGTTAGGTAAAAATAAGTAAATTACGTATTTAATATTTAAACTATTAATTTTGATATGTTTTAGTACCTAAATTTTTTAATTTTTTCAAAACTATATCTAATATTTAGTTTTTGTTTCTGTTTAGAAGTTAGAACTGCATTGTTTATAAAATTTCTACTAGGGTCTTGTGCTAGCACTGATTTTGAGAACTAGTTAGAGGAATTATACGACCCTTTTCTTATTTATTTATAGGGATGGGTATGTGTAGGATTTCGGCTAAACCGATCTGACTCGAAAATTTTACATTCTTCACCCGATCCGACCTGAAATAATAAAAAATAATATTTTTATTCAATAAAAATAGTGATTTAATTGAAAAAAAATATAGAGAGATATTATTGTAATTATTCCTAAATATATAAGGTAAAATTATTTTTTTCGGGTCAGGTCGGGTTGGGTATTTTTCACCCTAAACCCGAATCCGACCCGACCCAAACACCACCTTTAAAAAAAACTCAATCGACTAGACCCGAACCCTAAATTAAAAAAAAACTGAGTCTGATCGGAACCCGTCGGGTTCGAGTCTCATGCCCATCCTTATATATATAATATGAAGCGGCAATAAGATAATGTATGTTTATACTCTTTTGTAATTATTTACAATGCATGCATTTGTAATTATTTTACTTATATGTCACCATAAAATAAATTATATATCAAATAATAATCATTCTCAATTATTTATTAAAATAATATTATTTCAAGAGTTAATTGCATCATATATTCTCAAACTATACCTTCATTTTGAGTTGATCCTTAAACTTTTGAATATTTCAATTTCATCATGTTGAGTCAATCAAACCAAAGAAATAGCCAAGAGGTGGTGAATTGGCAAATAAAATTTGATGGAAGCTTTTTGCAAGAAAATCGACAAAAGCAATTTTAGAGTGGTTCAACTTCCTCAATGAAGTTTACATCAACTACCTTAGCTTTCACACTAAGGATTTCAACAAATTCACTAATTTGTTCAAACCTTTTAGGATATCGTGTAACCTTACAATACACCTTGACTTATATCCCAAAGTCTCAAGTGTACAACCCTTCCTAAGAAGAAATTAAAAATAGCAAACTTAGAAAACCTCACTAGGTATGTGTTTGCACAATTCAAGAAAAAAGAACACTCAACAAAATGAAACAAATGAGTACAAAAGTGTTTTTGAAAGCAAAAAGAATATTGAAGAATGTTGATTTTGGCTCAAATTGATTGCTTTTGGCTTTCTTTATAAGCTCTTGTATTCACATATGACTTGTAATCTTGTTTTTATATTCAATTCTAATAGTTTGGGTTGTTGTGAGAGTTAATAGAGTCGATAGGAAGAATTTTCTCGCAATAAATGTTGTCCAGACTTCTTGAGTACCGGTACTCGGGCTTGGAGTATCGGTACTGCCTGCATTAAATACAAAGATCTAGTCGTTGGTGAGGGAGGAGTTTCGATACTCCACATATAATATAGATACAAAAATAGCCTACTAGAATCGAGTTTGTCAAAAACATAAAAGGAATATCGGTACCAATATCGATACTTCAATGTATTTTTACACAATAGTATCAGTACCTGTATTGGTACCACGTGATCAATATCGATATTGTTCTTGTAGTATTGGTACTGCAGTGTTAAAAATTGATTTTTGGCTCGATTAAGATTCGAAACCCTTTGTAAAAAGGTTTGAAAAAATATTTCCACAAGAAGTAATTATGAAGTTTTCGACTTTAAAAAGAATTTCTATATTTGAATGGTTGAATCAAATATAAGTTTAAAAACCGAATTAAAAATAACCTTAAAATTTCTTTAAACTTATTTATTCTTGCTATATTAAAATCTCAAAGCATGGTTCAACACATCCTCAAACTATAGCTCTCACTCTAAATTAGTCCTTAAACTTTTGAGCATTATAATTCCATCCTTCAACTATGTCCCTCTTTCTAAATTAGTCCCCAAACTTTTGAATATTCCAATTTCATCCCCAAAATTCATCCAAATATGTAATTAGTTTCAACCAGACTTTAACATAAATTTTGGTTTTTTCAAATATATAGTAATATAACTTGGTTTAACAATTTTATTAACAAGGGGTGTGATTATTATATATGTATATTTTGGATGAAAATGAAATGTTAAAAAGTTCTGGGACAAATTTAGAACGAAGGAAATAGTTTGAGGATGAAATTAAAATTTTTAAAAGTTTGAAGACTAATTTAGAATTATAATCATATTTTAGAGATAAAATTAAAATATTTAAAAATTTAAAATCAATTTAGAATAAAAGTCAAACTTTGAGAATATGTGATGCAATAAACTCTTATATCAATATCATATAAGATAAATACATGTTATATTATCTATACTTTTAAAAATTTAAGTCAAGTCAGTCACATTATTTAAAAATGTGTTTGATAAAACTTTTATCTTATGTGACACTAAAAGGATATATCAAAGAAACACAAACATAAACAAAATTGGTGACAATAACATGTGTACGTGTCTTATCCTCAATCATTCGATAAGTGTATATTTAAAAGTTTATATTTTAAACGCTTGAAAAAGCAATATCTAACCAATGTAAGATTTGTTAACGTAACTATCACATTGATTAGATATTATTTGTCTAAAAAATCTATAGAATAAATGATAAAATAAAACTCTCAGTTGATATATATTCTCTCTCATAAGCTATCTTATTTTTTTTATAAAGTTAAAGTAATTAAAAATTAATATATGTGTTTTAAATACTTTCAAATTTTTTATAATAAAAGTTTAATCATCCTTTCTGTAGTCGTTGGTCTTTGAACCCGAAACTTCTAGAAATAACAATTATTCTTTTATTCATTGAAATAATATAATTCGTACATTGTGTTCATATTTTAAAGTGAAGTGAGAAAATATGAATAATTGGTGTTTGACGTAGTTATTTATATTAATTATAATTTTTCTATATCTATTCACTTTAATGATTTAAGTAGGGATTAAACTTATCGAGTTGCGTAAGAGTTCGAATAATATAAGGTAAATTATGTGTTTAGTACTTAAACTATTAGTTTTAGTCTGTTTTAATATTTAAATTTTTATTTTTTTCAAAATAATACCTAAAATTTAGTTTTTTATTTCATTTTAGTATTCGTCATTAAAAAATTAATTTTTGTTTCATTTAACGTTAAGTTTAGGTACTAAACACATTAAGTTTTTAGCGACAAAGTATTAAAATGAAATGAAAACTAAATACTAGGTATGATTTTGAAAATATTGAAAGTTTAGATACTAAAACGAAAACACTGATAGTTTATGTACTAAATGCATAGTTTACCCTAATATTAATTATTTTAGACGAAAGTGGGCTTTGATGACTCATAGCCTTGGGCTTTTCCTAAAGGGATGGAAGTGGAAGTTACACCCTTTACTCTTCGATCGTCGATCTTTCATCACTTCAACAAGCTCATCTTCCGTAGGGTTCCATAGTCAAACTCGTTGACCCCTCCACCAGAGACACAAAGGATATGGCGAATCAAGGGGCTAAGAAGCGCAAAGAAGAGAACGCTCGCCACATGGCCAATCTCCGCCGCCTCATCATTGCCTGCAATGTACGCTCTCTTCATCTCATCATCATCATTTCCCCAATTTCTTGAGACCCTTTTTCTATCAGGCGCTCAATTGTTTATCTTGTAATCAATTGAGAGTATTCGATTCTGATTAAATTAGATTCCTCCTTTGTTTCCATGTTTATGCTCAGTGTTAGCTTTATGATGTACTATCAGGAAACGTAGAACTTAATAGCCATAGATTGCACTGATCCATTTGGAATTGAATTTCCGTAGTTTTGTATTTGAAATGCACATGCACCCTTAGCTCACGGGTAAATTTTCCCGATTATAGGCTGGACGCAAGATTTTATGCTAGGGGTGCAAACCTTTAGGAATTATATTAAAATTTTAGTGGGTGCGAAATTAGATATCAAAAGAATGTACAAAGGAAATACCTAAATTACATATGAATTTGAAATTTCTAGGGGGTGTGACTACCCTCTAGCACCCTCTCGGTCCATTCATGTGCATATGTCAAACCCATAAAAGTGAAAAATATAAACTTCGTAAGTTGTGGCTAGTCACGATGTTAGAGTGATGTCAAGTGCACAGGCATAGCAGGTATATTAAGCGCAAGCTCGACTTGTAAACTATGATGGTCTTATACATAGTAAACGTTGGAAGTTGGAACCTATTTTCAGTGTTAGCTTAGTAGTTTCGACTTTCTAACATCTATGTACTTTATTAATATGCAGCAACAAGCACTATGTACTATGTATTGACCATTTTATTTGAACTTCACCCTTTTTTATTTGGAGCATGTGGTGTCTTAGCTTTGGTTTGACATAACACATTGAAATTCTTGCAGCTGTTACTTTTTAGTTGACGTAGAATAACAGAGGGTAGATGTTGCAACTTGCAAACACTTTCTATTTTTTTGTCTCCATAGTTGCATTTTTTGCTTGTTAACAATCTTATTTGATTGGAGCTTTTTTTATTTATTTTCTATTTATCTAGGTTGTATACGTCTTGGTTAGGCTGTTGATCTTCCACTCCTCATTCACATGGAAACATTGGGTTGGTCTACTGTTGACATCTGCAGCTTACTTCATACCCTATAAACAAATTGCCCAGATGGCAATGCCTGCTTATTCCGAAGATGGAGAGCTTCTTGATGGTGGATTTGATATGAGTACCGGTGGAATATGTGGGTATGTCTTGTTCAATGTTTTGTCCATTTTCACCATAATATTAATGTATGTTTTTTAATTTTATCTTTTAATTTATTTAAAGATTGGGAAGAATTTCGTTAGAAAAACTATTCTTAATACATTTCCTAATTCTTTGTAAATGAGGCAATGCGTGCAACAGGGGAATACTGCCTCAGGCTTTTCTAGCTTAGGACGAATATTACTTTGCTTTGGCTTTATATCTTGTATGGGCCTTTGCTAGCTTGGTGCCATGTTAGTTCTTTATTCTTCTTTCTATGGAAATCTTAACAAAGATTTGAGCTTTTCCAATTATTATTTTGTTCTGTTCTCTTTGCTCTCTCTATTTTTTTTCTACTATTGTTGCATCAGTGGGCTGTGGATTTTGTTTTTCCAAAGGTGGCTGGAAGAATGAAAGAAATCTAGTTCTTAAATTGTAAATTTAGGTTTTCCTTGTTATTTTCCCTATTTCTTTAACTGCCAGGTTATTTTACATGTTCCTTGGAGATTTTCTTCTTTTCTCCTTTTTAATGTGGATCTTTTTTCTTGTAATCGGTTAGCTATGGTAGCTATGATATAAGTATGTGAATATTAAAGTGGTAATCATGTTTATTGTGGGGAAGAGAGATTTCTTTTGTTGCTAATGAGTAAAGTTTATTTCTAGGCCACCATTAGTAATATGATGACTGTGTTTGGATATAGCTATTCAAAAAAGAAGAAAATCGAGATCCATTAATTGATCGAGTGGTCAAGGATGCTCATGCTGTCCCACCTTATGTGGGTTCAAATCTTGGCATTTGCCTTTAAAATGTAATACCTCACTACTTAATCAAAAAGAAGAAGAAAATCATCCTACTTGATTCAAACACTTGTAAATAAAAAGCGGGGGAGGGGATGCAGAGAAAACTTCTATAGAGAACCAACTAGGAAGTAGAATATTTTTCATTCTCTTTTCTTCCAATAAGTTTCATTTACCTATTATCTGGATTTTATGGTTTAAAAGTTAAAACATTGTTGCTCATCTAAAATGATGTTGACATTATGAATTGATTCAATAGTCCTAAATTCTGAGTATTTTTCTTTTCTCTGTATGTGTGGAACATTCCCGACTTGAGTTACCCTTTTTTTGCAGATATTTACATGACGTAATCTACATCACAAGTTTTGTGCAACTGATGTCCATCATCTCTGACAAGTTTTGGTATACATATCTTGTGGTAAGTTCTGTTTTACTTAGTTTGCTCATATAAAGCTCTTGTCTGATACTTCCATCATTTGATTACTTCTGGAATTGTAGAGTTATAGTTTCTGGAGGGAGTTCCTGTAATGCTTACATTCTCTTACGTTCTTTTAAAGATTTTGAAATAGTAGTGAAAGTCGTCAAAATATCTGGGGAAAATGTGAATGAGCAAATTTTGTGGAAGACATTTTACTAATTTCATTCAGATGGGAGAATTAATTCTGTTATAGTTTCATGATCGTGTGTTTTGGATGGTAGTTCAGCTGGTCGAAGGTGAAGCCTTGCATCTCATCAAAGGGAGACTAAAACCTTAGGACTCATCAAAGACAGACCCAGATTTTTAGGATTTATGATATAAATTCTGTTTAGAGTTTTATCATTTCATATGCCCCTTCAAGTAAGGAGTAGTTCTATTACATAAAAGGAAACCTATTTTTAAAAAGAAAATAAATCAACTGAAAAAGAAATGCAATCAAGAAATTAGGAAGGAAATAAAATTACAACCGTGTTCATGGAGCATGGCGGATTGGCAGTGTTCATTAGTAGGTGAATTCCAGCCCATAACGTATAATAGTTTCATTTCTGCTGCTTAATCTTATACTGTGTTCATTAGTAGGTGAATTAAATAACATTCCTGGAGCATAGCGGATTGGCCGTGTTATTTAAAGAATACTTAACAAATTTTAGCTTTTAATCTAGTTATCTCCCTTCTGTCAGACTCATGCACCAACGTAGCTGATCTAACTGTTAGGTTGTATTGATTCCTATTACAAGAGACATACTTATCTTGAAACTACTTAATGCTACCAGCAGACCAGGAGGCTTTCACTTATTAGGGGAGGGATCATGTTCATGAGTTTCTCGTATAACATTGATGCTCATTTCTTGGATTGATTATTTAGGTGTTTCTATTTATGGTGATTGGTGAAAAGTATCTGATTGGATTTGATATTGATAGATGGATATCTTTAGTCATGTTCCAGGTTTTTAGGATTCAAACCAAAAGGAATTGTAACTTAGGATCTTAAGATAATGCAAGTCTTTAAGAACAACATTTGCCAATAGAAAATTAGCATAATGCTAAAATTAGCCCCCAACATTGATCAAAATGGTCATTTGGTCTCTACTCTTTTTTTTGGAGCATTTTAGCCCCCAGCATGTTATCTCCCTAGTGTTTGACTGAATAGTCACTTTGGCCCCTACTTTTTTTTGAAGCATTTTAACCCCAACGTTTCATTTTAGGGCAAAAAGGCTCCTACTGTTTGATTGAATAATCACTTTGACTCTTATTCTTTTATTCTGTAGCATTTTGCCCTCCAACGTTTCATTTTAGGGTAAAAATACCCCTATTTTGGAGGGTTAACCGTTTGTTAATTAATGGTTTCCATTTACGGAGGGGCCTTTTTGCCCAAAAATAAAACGTTAGGGGTCAAAATGCTCCCAAAAAAAGAACAGGGGCTAAACTGATTATTTAGTCAAATGTTAGGGGCATTTTTTGATATTATGCCTAGAAAATTCTATGCTAATATTGATTTATTATGAAGTAGAATCTATTTTAACTCACTTGGGTGGGGGTAAAAAGGCTGATGACATAACATAATGGAGTAACTTGCTGCCTTTCAGATACCAGCATTTGGAGCATACAAATCTTTTGGGTTCATTAGAGGGTTTTTATCATCAGGCAGGCTCAGAGGTATTCCACACCTTCATATTCTTTTTATGAAGTAGATGTACATATAAACATTGTATTCATATGATTTGTGTGTGAATTATAGGGAGAGGTTGAGGATGAAAAGACTCGCAAAAAAAGGGAAAAGATGGAGAAGAAGGCTTCAAGGCCAAAGTTTGTCAAGACAAGGAATAGGTGAGTTTATCACTGAAATGAAACAAACTGAAAGTAGTTCACTTGAAAATTTTCTGATGTTGCTTTCGAATTTTAAAGGTTACACCACACAGTTTGTATTAAGTTCGAGGAAAGCATGTTGTATTGGTTGAAGTGAACATGAAATAGTGATGTTCTTGATGAAAAGGAAAACTGAGAAGTTTTATTTAACTTCCATGCCCCTAATTCATTTGGCTAAATTTTCTTGCAACTAGCTGGGAAATGAAAGGATACGAAGAGGCTGATTTAGTTGATGCTTTTGAAACATAAGTACTTGAGTACGGCCTAGTGATATTGGGAAACTGGTAGTTAGCAATAAGTTATATAAATTTTTTTCATTTTTTTGGGCTTGGATTTTATTTAATAAATAATAATAATAATTAAAAATTGGTGATTACAGCTACTTTTTTATTACACGCCGTTAAAAAAATAATGTTGAAGCTAGTGTGTCACAATAAAATAATGTTATGTCATCACTGAAAATACGAATGAAAAAAGTATCGTGTTAGTAATTTTGTTTATTTTTTAACGATAAATGACTAAAATGAAAGGAAATGTAATGTTAGATATATTTCGTAAAAACATAATTAGATGATCAAAAAACAAAACTACAAGTGATTAAATACATTATTTATCCAAGATTATAGTAGTGGAAAAGACGTAACATTATCCTAATCAAAAGCACCCAGATAACTTTTTTTTTTTTTTATCTAAGACAAATACAATGTAATATATGTTCAAATAACACTCTCAATCATTTGTACGCTTATAACACTAATATTTTTTATGCTTTAAACTGGAACCTCAAGAAATAATAATAATTTCTTTGTCTCGAGATCACTTGGTTCGTGCAATAAAAATTAGCTGACCCTTATTCCCATATGTAAGGGGAGGTAGGATAGTAGGCTATCCCTAACGTCAGGTTGAGAGCAGCTTCCGTGGGAGACCTCCAAATTATGAACTGCCCCTGTGAGACTCGATCGCACGACCACAAGATTAAGAACCTTGCGCTCTACCAACTGAGCTGGACGGACAATAAGATATTTTAATAAATTCAAACCACTAACGTATAAATGCACGTAGAATTTGACGTTGAAAACGGACACAATCAGTGGCAACTTGGAAAGGGGACTTCCATATTGAATCCACCCCAATTTAGGGGAACATTCATCCGTGCATTTCCCAAGATTCATATATTCAGAGTTCACATTATTATTTGTGTAGATCTGAATATAGGGACGGCAACAGGTAGGATTGAACTGGTCAAATTTTTAGTGGTATTGAATTTGATTTGATTTCAATATTAATATGATTTAATTCTGCCTAATTTTAATTTAATATATTAAATATAAATCATGATTTGACCCCAAAAATTTATCATCTCATACCCATATTTAAAAAGTTCGATAAAAATATTAAATATATTTATATAAAAATAATATTTTAATAAATACATCGGACGAGTTTTACTTAAATTTGTTTCGACCTCAAAAATGTTAAAGAAAATTATGCATTCAGTATCTAAATTATTAGTTTTGATCTATTTTAGTACTTATTTTTTTTAAATCATGCCTAATGTTTAGTTTTTGTTTCATTTTAATATCTTAGTTATGATATCTAGACTTTCAAAAAAAATCAAAACTTAACGCTAAATTTTAAACGATATACTAAAATGAGATAAAAACTAAACTTCAGGTATAGTCCTGAAAAAATTAAAAATTTAAGTACTAAAACGGACCAAAATTGATAGTTTAGGTACTAAACCAATTTACCCAAAAGTTTAATAAAACATGTTCAGCCCTCAATTTAAGAAATAATCTCAATCAAATCGAATCTTGTAAAAATGGTCAGAGAAAATTAGCATCACTAAATCTAAGCAATCAAGGCTGAAAAGCAATAAACACTAATTAAATAATTATTTATTGCATATAATTGACAAAGAAAATTGTAAATAACATTTTAAACACGTTTAATTTGTGGAAGTTAAATAGCATCAACAACATATTTAAAAAAATTTGGTATGATTTGATTAATTATTTTTATTTAAATTTATTAACCCAATACTCATCGAGGGATCTTAATGTAAAAGGGATTATTTTCTTTGTTAAATATTATTAAAAATATAATATTTTAAGTGTAACCGAAAATGTTATAAATAATATAACATTTTAAGTTCAGTTTATAATATAATGAAGAATGTAACATCTTAAGTTACGTTCAACTTAAAATGTTATGTTTTTCATAACATTTTCGATCACATTTATTTTCATGATTTTTAATCTTCAATTATTAGATGACCATATTTTAATTAAAACTAAATTAACCAAATCTTATGTATTTTGAATTTAGGGAGGAAAAATTTATAAAACTAAAACGAAAGTGACCTTTTATATAATTTATCCCACAATTTAACTAATGCCAATATTAATCAATTTTCAAATAAGCCACCACCATCGAAATTTCCAACCCCTTACTCAAACCCTCTATAAAACCCCCCAGTGTTCTCCCCCAAAGTCCAAGTCGTCAAACGAAATTCTCCACTCGTTTTCTCATAGATAAACAATGAAGGTCACCGGAGAACGAAGATACGCTCTCCTCCTAGCCGCCAGGGACTCAGACTACGTAAAGAAGGTGTACGGAGGCTATTTCAACGTCTTCGTCGCCGCTTTCGGAGAAGAAGGAGAGCGATGGGACTTATTCAGGGTCGTCGACGGAGAGTTCCCGGCCTTGACCGATCTCCACAAATACGACGGATTCGTCATCAGCGGCAGCCCCCACGACGCCTACGGCAACGACCGCTGGATCCTCAAGCTCTGCTTCCTGTTGCAGACGCTCGACGCCATGGAGAAGAAAGTGCTCGGCATCTGCTTCGGCCACCAGGTGCTGTGCAGGTCGTTGGGGGGCAAAGTCGGGAGGGCGTGCGGTGGATGGGATATTGGGTTGAGGAAAGTGAAGATCGAGAAGGATTTGTTGGTTCACGTGGAAGAGATCGAGGAAATACCGTCTTCGTTGTCGATCATCGAATGTCATCAAGATGAAGTGTATGAGGTTCCGATGGGAGCCGATGTGATCGCTTTCTCGGAGAAGACGGGGGTGGAGATGTTCGGAATTGGGCAGCATATTCTTGGCATTCAAGGACATCCCGAGTACACCAAGGACATCTTGTTCAACCTCGTTGATCGCCTTCTTAATAACAACTCCATCAAGGTAATTTAACCCACCATTCCATCAATCCTCCAAAAGGGGATCTTTTGATCGTAAATCAAAATGGTTATTTAATCAAACGTTTGACATTATACAGAGAGAGTTTGCTGAGAAAGCCAAGATTGGATTGGAGATGGCTGAACCAGACAGGAAGAGCTGGGGGAAAATATGCAGGAATTTTCTCAAGACAACTCCTCGTTTCACCTTTTCTTGGTAATGGCTTTCATGTACTTTTTCCACACATAGTTTGTATTTTTTATCAATTCTTTCTTTTTTTTAATTTCATCTTTGACCTGATGAAACGAAATGAAATTTTTCCTGCTTTCATGTAACATTCTATACTCAAGACAGTTAAATTTATGTCACAGTGGTCGTTGACAGAGATTTAAATTAGGGTTTTAAAAATCGGTCCACGACCGTGATAGATAGCGTTGTCTTCCGATATACCCACAATTGCGTCCGTTATGCCCTCGATAGTGCTCTCTATAGCCGCCATCGCGATAAATAGGACATAACCGAAAATCAAACGGTGATCGCGATTTGAATCCCTGATTACTCACCGAAAAAACCATAAACATTATCATCCGAGAATAAATTTAGAACAAACACAATTCTAAGAAAAAAAAATGTTATTTAAGCATAAAGGTAAATTACGAATTTCATTACTGAATTTTATTCTCTCTCCTCTTTTACTCACCGAACTTTAAAAGTTTTTAATTTTCTCATTAAACTTAATACATTGAGTTTTTTTGTCACTAAACTTACTCTCTCTCCTATTTTGGTCACTCCGTCGTTAAATAATTAACGGCGTTAAAAATGATGTCATTTAAAAAAAAACAAAATTTTCTCTAAAATGACGTCGTTTTGCATCTATAAAACAACTCATTTTAACGTCATTAACTATTTAACAGTCGAGTGATCAAAAAAATTTAATGTATTATATTTAGTGAAGAAATTAAAAAGATTTAAAGTACAATAAATGATAAAAAAAAATGTTAGCTACATATCACAACGTTGTTATTGTTACCTTCTTTCTATTTTGCTACATCCAATCCATAATTAGTTGAAATAAAATCGGTATTTAAAATCACATTAAATATGTTTCTTTTGGTTGACACCAAAGCAATGTGAAAATGTTTTAAAAAAATAAATTAATGGTACCAAACGTTTTTTAAAGAGTAAATTACACCCTTGACCACTTTATTATGGGCACTCTATTTTAATTATAGATCTTTTAGTTCTATTAATCGAATTTTTAATTATTTAAATGAAGACAATCAAATCACGTGTTGTTAATATTTGACAAAGTAAATATATGGTAGTTAAATATTTTAATATAATTATATTATTTTTTTTAACTACATCGGTTACTTTAATCCTAATTATTACTTAAAAGATATAAAATCAAAGGGATTATGATAACAAATATACACATGGCAATAGGTCGAAATTCCTTGGCTTGAAAGTCGAGAGACTGTTACATAGACGAGCATAAGATTTTATGTTAGAGTGATAAATATATAAAATTTTAAATAATGATGAATTTATAAAGTTTTAGGAGTGAAAAACGATTATTAATATAAATTTAAAAAAATTTAAAAGTTTTACGAGCTGTGATCACTCGCACACATTTCTCGTTCTGTTCATCTCTTACTGGTTAAAATACATTAATGTTTAAAATCCCATTAAAATTATTTATTTTAGGCCCATGCCAAAGCAATGTGAAAATGTTTTAAAAATTAGATTAATCGTACCAAACATTTTTTAAAGGGCAAATTACACCCATAGCAATGTGAAACAAGTACTTTACCCTTGTTGTAAAGTCAAGTAAAAAATTGGTAGATCGCATTATAAATTTTAAAAAAAAATTAATAAAAAAATTAAAGGCGTAAGTAAAAAAAATTGACAAATATTCTTATAAATTGACAAATAGAATCGAATTAGGTGACCAAAATAGAATAAAAACTTAAGTTTAGTGATGATTTTGAAAAAATAGTTGAGTGGTCAAAACAAAACTCTATAAATAATTGAGTGACTAAATTGAAATTTACCTAAAAATATTTCTTTTAGGTCCATGCCAAAGCAATTTGAAAATGTTTTAAAAATTAGATTAATCGTACCAAACATTTTTTAAAGGGCAAATTACACCCATAGCAATGTGAAACAAGTACTTTACCCTTCTTGTAAAGTTAAGTAAAAAATTGGTAGATAGCATTATAAATTTAAAAAAATAAATTAATAAAAAATTAAAGGCATAAGTAAAAAATTGACAAATATTCTTATATATTATAAATTTAGAAAAAAAATAGAATCGAATTAGGTGACCAAAATAGAATAAAAACTTAATTTTAGTGATGATTTTGAAAAAATAGTTGAGTGATCAAAACAAAACTACATAAATAATTGAGTGAATAAATATGTAATTTACCTAAAAATATTTCTTTTAGGTCCATGCCAAAGCAATGTGAAAATGTTCTAAAAATTAGATTAATCGTACCGAGCATTTTTTAAAGGGTAAATTACACCCATAGCGATGTGAAACAAGTACTTTACCCTTGTTGTAAAGTAAAAATTTGGTAGATAGCATTATAAATTTTAAAATATAAATTAATAGAAAAATTAAAGGCATAAGTAAAAAATTGACAAATATTCTTATATATTGTAAATTTACAAAAAAAAATAGAATCGAATTAGATGACTAAAATAGAATAAAAACTTAAGTTTAGTGATGATTTTGAAAAAAATAGTTGAATGATCAAAATGAAACTATATAAATAATTGAGTGACTAAATATGTAATTTACCTAAAAATATTTTTTAAGTTCCATTCCAAAGAAATATGAAAATGTTCTAAAAATTAGATTAATCGTACCGAGCATTTTTTAAAGGGTAAATTACACCCATAGCGATGTGAAACAAGTACTTTACCCTTGTTGTAAAGTAAAAATTTGGTAGATAGCATTATAAATTTTAAAATATAAATTAATAAAAAAACTAAAGGCATAAGTAAAAATTTGACAAATATTCTTATATATTGTAAATTTACAAAAAAAAAATAGAATCGAATTAGATGACTAAAATAGAATAAAAGCTTAAGTTTAGTGATGATTTTGAAAAAAATAGTTGAGTGATCAAAACAAAACTATATAAATAATTGAGTGAATAAATATGGAATTTACCTAAAAATATTTCTTTTAGGTCCATGCCAAAGCAATTTGAAAATGTTTTAAAAATTAGATTAATCGTACCAAACATTTTTTAAAGGGCAAATTACACCCATAGCAATGTGAAACAAGTACTTTACCCTTCTTGTAAAGTTAAGTAAAAAATTGGTAGATAGCATTATAAATTTAAAAAAATAATAATAAAAAAATTAAAGGCATAAGTAAAAAATTGACAAATATTCTTATATATTATAAATTTAGAAAAAAATAGAATCGAATTAGGTGACCAAAATAGAATAAAAACTTAAGTTTAGTGATGATTTTGAAAAAAATAGTTGAGTGATGAAAACAAAACTATATAAATAATTGAGTGATTGAATATGTAATTTACTCTTATGTTTTTTAACAGAGTTAAGGGACAAATAAAATAACGATTTAAATTTCATGGGATAAAACGTCTTAAAGTCATTTTAGACCGTATCTGAATACAAAGTACATAATTTAAAGGGTAATGATGCATCTAAATCATCAAAAATAAGATAAAATCATAATAAAAGTGACATCAAATATAATCAATGTATTCATTCATTAATTAAATTAATCTTCAACGTTGTTTTTTTTTAATTTATCTTCCGAATATTGCAATTATAAAAAAATATTTAAATAAAAGAAATTATAAGTTAGTTCTCTCTCGCTAGAGAGGGTCTAATAGACATAATAAAAAGTTTATCCTTCAACTTTTACTCTTTATTTAATTTAATCTTAATTCTAAAAAAAATCGAACGTTCTAATATTCTATCAATTTAATTTTACAGACTCATTTTCAACCATAGAAAACAATGTCTCGTCTAGATTTATCTTTATCGGTGACTTTCGAGTCTTATTTAATGAGCTAATTGTTACAAGTATAATAATCTGAAACGAAAAAGAAAAAAGGAAAGTCGTAGTTTATTAATAAAATAGTTTAGAATAAAAAATCCGAATGTGGACAGAATAAAGATCGAGAAACTAGTTGAGGTCTGTAGCTATTAGCTACATAGTTTTCTTAAGACATATAATCGATCACTTCTTGCTGCTCAAGATCTAATACAACTGCAGGGATCACAAACTTGTTGAGTGATCACTTCTTGCTACATTAATTTCTCATTTATCACTCAACCGATTTTAGCATATGAGATGCTGTTGTAAATAACTCATAGTGTAGAATATGAATCAGTAAATTAATTATTTGAATGTCCATCTTTACCCTTAGAAAATATTCCTCAAACTTTCCAATTTATCATAATTTTTCCAACACCAGCAATTCAGAGTTTCTTCAACAAGAGAATTAAGTCTTCGTTTAGCCTCAAGATACACGGGGAATCCCTTCATGGGCAGTGGCGAATGTAAAGCTTATTCAAAGTGGACATGTGTGTATTATGAAATTTAAATTTATTTATATTAGTTGTTCATTTTATTATTGGTGCCCATCTAGTTGTATTCATCCTATATAAAAAAATCTATTATTAATATATGTGTCGACTCTAAGGAAAATGAGGGACAAGTATGAGTTGGACTTTGCTTAATATGGTGAAAAGAAAATTGGAAGGATGGAAGGAGGAAGTGAGAAAGTAGTGAGAAAATAAATTTTTGAGTGAACTTGGTATGAGAAAAATGAGAGGAAATAAATGAGAATAATGATTACTCTTTTTTATGTATAAAATTAAAGGGTAAATTACACCATTCCTCACTAAATTATATTACCCTATTCTATTTATCGTACTTTCAATTTATCTAATTTACTTATTGAACTTTCGAATTACTCATATTTTGATCACTCCATATTATTTTTTATTATTTTCATATGACGTTGCATTTATTATTATTATTATTATTATTTAAAATAAAATAAGTCAAAATATAAATAAAAACATAAGGTGGCCAGACACCATTGCCGATCGATGTCGATCGTCGTAGATGGTGGTCGTTCAGTCCCAAATTTCATGGGTCACTTCGCCTCGACACTGTGAGTTCGAATCCGACCTCCATTTTGTTGGAACTTGCTCCGAAGTCAATGAATTGGAGATTGAAAGTGAGGAAACCAAAATGTTTCAGACGAGATTCAGGGGTTTTGGGACATTTTCCTATGAAACAACCACCATATTTGAACTTAGGGGATCGAGAAGGATC